AGCCCGATGCGGGACTCGATCCCAGGACTCCAGGATCATGACCTGAGCCGAAGGCAGTCGCTTAACCAACTGAGCCACCCAGGCGCCCCACTTCTACCAAATTCTGTTGGCCAAATGGACTCACATGACCAGGCCCAGATTAATGGCGAAAGAGAACAGACCCCATCTGTTTAATATACTGCAAAGTCACAGGCGAAGGGCGTACACATAGGGAGGGGTGAAGAACTGGAGTCATTAATTCAATCTATTGCATAATTATCAATTAAGTACCATTATCATCCCCCATCTCATTCATGTCATTGAGAAACTGAAGCACAGAGACTTTAAATAAGGTGACTTAACAGAGTTCCTGGAGCTTCCAGTGAGACTGCTGTTCCTGTTGCTTCTCATCACTGCAACTGTCCAAGACACCAAACTCTCATATGTCTTTGATCTTTAGGTGCTAGATCTCAACTGGCTGCAAGACTGCTGGGTCGTCTGTGCTTCCCACCTTAAACCAATTCCTAACCTTCCTCTAATTGGACCTTAGCATCACTATGCCAATATGTGTTTTTCCATGAGCCTCAGGAACTGCTAGAAATCCCAACTCTTTTCACCCATCACCCCAATTCGTCTATGAATACATCTCCCTCTTACACTCCTCCCTAGCTCCCTCGACATTTCCTGTGCCTCTAAGATTCAAGACCTGTCATCAGTACTCTTAATCTATGATATCCTCTCTGGACAGTCCCTTCACTCCCATCTGCCTTCATTTCCAACCCGACTGAAACACTGCTATTCCCCTGTTCCAGGCACATGCTCCCACTGCCCTGAAGTCCTCGCAACAGGATGTGGTTTTTTTCTCTTACACCACGTACCTGTGGGCTTGAAGATGAGAGAGAAGAGAGGTATCCTCTTTGCTTCATAAATCATTCTCCTTCCTCTTCAAAACTTGGATCCTATGGAGTTCATGCTATCACACACTACAACCCCAAATATTGCTATCTCCTTGACCTTCATACAAAGCTTAATTTAGCTTATTTTGCAAGACTAACTTGACCTGGGTTATTTCTTGATTGTGTGTCTGGAAATCATAAGCAAAACTTGAACTGGTTCCCAAGGTTAATATGAGGTCACTACAGACCAATTCTCTATCATTTATGAAAATTCTAATATTCTAACCAATCACCGTGAAGTATAAATAACCACTGCCTTCCCATTATATAAACTACCCCTTACAGAAGGGGCCTTGCCCTCTAACCATATACCCTGAGCCTCATTCCATGTTTTGGTCTGAGGGCTCCTGGTTTGCAAACTGTATTTTGGTGTGTGCACAATAAACTTTTATGAATTACTAATTGGTCATTCACTGGTTTTCTGTTATTTATGAACTTCTAACAGTAGTTACTTGCTGAGGCCCAAGACACATGGCTTACTCTCTAGGAAGATGTTCCAGGAGTTGCCCACATCACCTCTTATATTTCCTGGATCTAATGTAAGCACAGGGTGACAATCAGCTGCAAAGGAAGCTCAAAAATGTAATATCTTGCTGGGCAAGACCAACTAACACTCAGGGAATTTTATTACTAAAGGAAAGGGAAAAATGGATATTTGGGAACAGTTACTGATCTTTGTCACTTTAGTTAAGCCTCTTACCTACCCACTCTATGCCTTTCCACAAGTAGCTGACTGACACCAGAGAAGAGCACCACAGCCATTATGATTCTTATCCTAAATCTGAAGAAAGCAGTTGATTCTCCATAACAACCTTATATACTTTTTAAGATACCTTTGATGTTCTGCCTGCAAAAAATGATTAATTCATATTTTCTCCTCTTTTCTCCAACCTTCAACGATTCCTTCCCACTTTTTACACTGTGTTCTCAGCTGATAACTTACCCTTGTATTTTACTGAAAAATTTTAAACAATTACAGGAAGTTCCTTTGCTTCCTACCACCAAATCTACCAACTTACCTACACATTTCCACCGTCAGTTCTTTCTTCTCATCCTCTGTCCTTTTACAGTATATGGAAGCTTTCTGTTCCCAGCAAAGATGAACACCTCTCTTTTTGCTCTGAAGCCTATCCTCCCTGGCCTTTCTCAAAGAGTGATGACTGCAATAATATTCAATTTCTTTTGTATCATTATGATTTTTTTTTTCCCTGTTGACTATTCCCAGAAATAGTCTCTAACAAATCCCACCTTCAAAAAATCATTTGAGGAAAGGATTCTGGGAAGCTGGTGGAGTAGGAAGCACCAGGAATCAGTCTCCCCACCTAGACATCAATTGCATTGGCAGAATCTAATATAACCATGTTGGAACTCTAGAGTCTATTGAAGGCTTGCAACTTCCAGGCAAAGGCTTGGATGGTAAATTGCAGTTAGGTTCAGTCAATGTCAGCTCTTAGCCACAGGAGCAGCTACCCATCCCCCATCTCCCAGGCCTGTGGCAGGCAGCCCTGCACATACTCCAGAAGCAGCTTGTGTGTGCTTGCCGGAGCCAGAGTAGACACAAAAGACCCTGTCCTCCCAACATGGGGAGTCTGTGCTCTGACTGCTGATTGCTACTTTTGATCACGGAGACACAGAGAAGCTATATTTGCTCTCACCCTTTTCTCACTTCATCTTTTCTTCTCAGTTCACTCCAATTTGTCTTCCATCTCCATTACTACACTATAATGGCTTTTGTCAATGTCCTCTGACTTGACAAATCTAAGATCTTTCCTATCTTCTCTTATGTGCTTCTCAGCAGCATTTGACAGCTTTAACTACTTTCTTTTTGCAACATTCTCTAACCTTGGTGTCCACACCCACCTCCTACCCTCACTCCTCCCATTCTCTTGGTTTATATGCTACATCGTTGCCAACTCTTTCCCAGTCTTGTTTTTTCGGCTCTTTCTCCTTGGTCCAGTCCATAAATGTCAGAATGCCTCTACTCTCTCCCCTTACATTCTTCACACAATCTCACACATCCGCATGGCTCTAAGTACCTATATATGCTAAATGAGTCCCCAATATTTATTTCCAGGTCAAATTCTAAACTTGTATTCAACAGTTTATTTGATGTCTTCACCTCAGTGCTCAACAGACATCTAAACCTAACCATAACAGAATTTTTCTCCCCTAAATGTGTCTTTCCCTCAATTTTCCCCAACCTAAATGGCACCACATCTTCCCAGTCACCTAAGAGAAGCCTATGTGGCATCTCTGATTGCTCATTTTTCTAAAACCCCATGTTGTACCCAAAGCAAACCTTACGGGGTCCTTTTTCAAAACATATGATGAATCTTTCTATCTCTACTCTTCTCACCTGGATTTTTACAAATGCCTAACATATAATATTCTACTTATTTATCTTGTCTGTTGTCTGTTTCACCAGCCTCATGAGCTTCATGAGTGAAGGGAATTCGGTTTGTTTTGTCTTATGCTGTACATTCATGGCTTAGAATAGGGCTTGATGCTCAATAAGTATTTGTTGAATGATTGGCAGAAAAGTCTAGTGGGAATCAGACATGCAAAAATTGAATTATAATACATTTTTATTTTTTTAAAATAAACTATTTATTTATTGATAGAGACAGATAGTTACAGAGATATCGAGAGAGAGTACAAGCAGGGGGAGCAGCAGAGGGAGAGGGAGAAGCAGGCTCCCCGCTGAGCAGGGAGCCCGATGCGGGGCTCGATCCCAGAATCCTGGGATCACGACCTGAGCCGAAGGCAGACGATTAACCGACTGAGCCACCCAGGTGCCCCCAAAATAACTGAATTGGGGCGGTCCGGGCCGCGGAGGCCGTTGGGCCGGGGCGAGCGCGCGGCCCTGGCCCCAGACCCCGGCCGCCGGGAGGGAGGGCGGATGGGAAGCCGCCGCTTCCTCCCTGAAGCGGGCTCGGCCGCGCTGTCTCGAGAAGGGCACCCCGAGCAGCCTCAAAACAAAAACCGCGTCTGGGGAATTGGGCGAGTCCACAAGACCCACCGTGTCCACTTCAATGCAGTGGAAGGTGAACGGCTTACTTTAGGGGTTACTTGGGGTGTTTCTGGCTGTTGTGCTTAGGGAGCCTTCACTGGGGCCATTTTATATTTCTTAAAAAAAAAAAAAAAAAAGACGAAGGTTGAAAAGCACTTATCTCGGTTCCTTCCGAATCGGTAAAATGGCGAAGGGGAAGCAAAACCCCCATCGTATCTTCCACTAGCAAAAGCACCAAAGCAAACAAAAAAAAGCTTACAGTGGTCAAAGTGCCCCTGCTTTCGCCTTGAAATTTGCCTACTTCTCCCCATTTGTCCCTTTTTGGTTACTTGCGATCACGTAGGTTTGCAAAAAGCAGTCACATAAATAACCTTGTCAGTCACCAACGCAATGTGATCACTAGTCCACCCCACTCTTATTTTTATTCTGACAATAAAACACGTTTTTGCCCGGTCCCAAACGCCGCAGACAAGCCCACGGCCGCCCGACTCCGTACCGTTGGCGACTCGGGTCGATCCATCATGGCTGCGGCCGCTTACCCTGCTTTTCAGTCCCTGAGCCTTGTGGTCCTCCTCCCTTTGGCTGCCCTGTTTATATAGAGCCATTGCCGCTCTCTAATATAGACTCTGCCAGGATGGGAAGGTGCTTTTCAGGCCTACGTCACCGCCTCTCCATTTAAACACTAGATCCGGCTTTAAATAGTGAGAGCTGCTGAGAGCGGGGCTGGGAGGTGCGTGCTCCCGAGGCGAGAGGCAGGAGCGTGCAGAGCTCAGTTTATTTCTAGGTCCTTTCCTTAACGCTGTAATTTCGCACCCAACAGGGCAGCTTTCAGAGTCCCAAGTTTGTTGTTGTTGTTTTGATGCAGCAGCTAGGGTTTCCTGTCTTTGTTAGGGGAAAATAGAATTGCTGTACCTTCCTTTTATTTTTATTTTTGCTTTTAAACAGAATTGTAGCTCAGCTGTCTAATCGTTTTTGTATTGGAAAATGCGTTATTGTCGGGAATTAAAAAAAAAGTGCTTCCTACATGAACTGTTAGCTGCAGGGTACTTGACTTTGGTAGTGTTCTGTTCTTCAAGTATTCAGAAAATATGTTAGAAATAAAGCTTCTAATATGCCGTTGTTTTTCTATATTAAATGGAGACACGAAGCTTTTTGAAGAAATAAAGTGTCTAAAGCCTCAACATAGGACCTTATGTACACAGTACATTTATGTATAGGCGAATTGTGAGTAATGAGAGTATAAGGAGGCTTAGTGCAAACTGGATCTCAAAAAAATTGTAAGTTGGCAGTGTTTTTATTTCATTGGATATTAATATTCTAGATGGAAGTTAATCTGATTTACTTTCCAGTGTTCCCCCAGGGAACTAACACTTTGGAAAGGAACCTTCTAAATAATCATTAGATAGTGACAGTCATGGCTCTTTAATTTACCAGTTTGGAATATCTGTTTTGAAAACCAGGACAAACCTAAATTACTCTGTATTTTGTTAAAAGGCAAAAACTTTGGCTTAAGTAAGGTTTAGCATTTTAAATAACTTGGAAATTGCTTATTTCAGGGAGTGCCTATGTACCCCCATGCTTTTAAAAACATGAGTATTATGGGGGCTTATCAACTTATGAACAGTTATGCTAAATTATTGTGTATATGTCATGAAGAATACACATTTCCCTTTAGAGCTTTTATGAAATTAAATGGTCAAATTGTAGGTTAACTAAGGTGCATAAGCAAAATCCTAAAACAAGATAAATTCATTAAATAGGGAGTGCCAGAAGAAAGCAAGTTTTGTAGCTGTAAATGTCTGGATCTCCAAGCTGAAGATTTTTAGGAGTGATTGACTTCAGAAAACACCAAACATCCAGTTTGCTGAAAAAATAATTTATATCATCAACTTAAGATTCATAGTAACAATTTAAAATTACACCACCTCTTTATAGTGCATTAAGAATTATTATTGGCTTAAAGAAAACCACTTTTTAAATGTTATTTTTGTAATTCAGTGGTTAAATCACCATAGATAAAATGATACCTATAGTCAGTGACAGTTTCCTTATGTATAGAATCAGAATGTTAAAATAAGGAGGCCCTATAGAGTTTCACATTTTGCACATGAATAACTTAAAAGTTTACAGAGGCAGATTTGGTAAAATAAAGCAGGTTAGTGAGTGGAATAGCAAAGGTGAGAACCCAGATATATGAATTGTTTATCTGGTTGTGGTGAAAAGGAGCAAATTTTAATGGTTGAGGTAAGTTATACAGAGGAACTCATTATTTGTAGTTTTGGCAGTGTAAGAACACATTTTCTTAGAGGGTTCTCCTGTGATAACAATATTGCTGTTAGAGATGCTAGTGAAACATTTGTCTTTGAGGTTTGGTTATGAGAGCAAACCCTTGGTTTTATTGGGTAACTAGTAGTTCTTACCTTAAGCAGGCTATAAAACACAAATAATGACAAACATTAAAAGAAAAAGGCTGATAACCTTAACTGTGTGTGATAATGGATAGGATTTATAACAAGATAGCTCTAGTTTTATCACACTGACATGCAGACTTCTTGCCTAACACGTTAAAAATAGGATGTGGGTTGGGCAAATTACTATTACCTTTTGATTTTTAAAAAATACTTTATACTTTTGAAAGTGCTTTCACATTTATTCTCCTTTTATTCTTCTGGCAACCTTCTAGAAACAATCTTCTCCAACCCTGCCCAAGTAATACCAACAATAATAGTAATAATTAGAAAACATTGAGGTTGTTCATGATTCTATTTCATGGCATCGTCTAGGCAGTAGTTGAAGGAAAGAAATCCTGGGAAAGAAGTCAGTGTGTCTTGTGCATCTGGGGCTTTAAGACCTATTACTGTGGGTATATGAACAGTTTAATGGTGTAGCTTAAAGGCACAGACTGGTTGACAGAAAATAGAAATTACGTGATTTTTAAATTAGATTGCAGATAATATCAGGCAAATGACTGCAGGACGTAAGTTTAAGGCTCAGTGAGGAGGTTGTGAGATCTAACAAGTCAAAGGAAAGAATAATAGGAACCAGTTATTAGCAACCCATAAGGCTATTTTTTGGGTCACATTAGGTGTTTTGATTATAACAACATAGGAAATTCTAACTGGAAATTGTGTGGACCTTGTATGTATAAGGACTTCCTGTATATGAATTGCATTAGTATTTAAGACTTCTTTTAAAATATGCAGTCATAAAATAATCCATTTTAATTGAAGCAAATGATATTTATTAGGATGGCCATATCTTTAAAGTTATATCTTCTAAAATAAATTTTGATTAGTTGGAAAAATGACTTGTATTATATTTAATTTGTTTTGAATATGTGAAAAATGATCTTTTTCAACATTTTTATTTTTCCTTTAAAGCCTAAATTGTACAGATCTGTGATTGAAGATGTTATTAATGATGTGAGAGACATCTTTTTGGATGATGGAGTTGATGAACAAGTTCTTATGGAACTAAAAACTGTGAGTTTGCCTCTTGTTGTTTTAATAGTCATACTTTTTTTTTTTTTTTTCCCCTTAAAATACTCTCTTTAGCCAGAGACTGATCCATAATTTTTCCATGGGATGAGCATTCAACTTTGCTGCAGGAGGCAGTGTGTGGATAGGTGAAGGAGGCTAGCTTTAGATAGCTCTACCATCCATCCTTCCTCTGCTCTTAGGCACACTGTATTTCAGTTTCATTATGTGTGATATGGGAATTGGTCAGACTTACCTTACAGGTTTGTTTTGAGGATTAAATATAATAACCATATGAAGTGCTTAAGCACAGTGTCTGGCAATAGCATTCACTATTACTAATGGACTGTTAACATTGTATATTTATGGTCTAATTATTTGACATACCTATAGTTTTGTTTTTTCCCCCCTTTTTTTAATGGTCTTAACGTACCTGTATTCTAGAAAGTGTTGTGGAGATTAAGTAAGTGCTTGATAAAATAATTTTATGTTCTTAAGTCTGATTTTTTTTTTTAATGTGGACCTAATATTAGGTTTATGATGTATTTGACATTGGGAGCTGGTTATCTGTCTCTTGGATTTCTTTGGATTTAAGCAGGAGTAATTAGATATTTTTATTTAGCATTTGTGTTTTCTTGGTGTTGTAATGACTCATGAGATTATGGAATATTTTTCCCTTATTGCTCAGAACAGTGGTTCTCAAAATAAGGTCTCTGGAGTCCTGAGGTTTCCCCACAGATTGTTTCAAGAGGTCCATGAGGTTGGCCAAATGCCCAAGTCTGAATAATCATAGTTTGTCATATTTTCAGTAAAAGTTGTGTTCTGTGGCCAGTTAAACTTGCTGCTCAAATGCACTGAGTACTTTTCCTTGAGATAACTGTTCCATATCCACAGTGGTTTATGTATGCTTCCCATTTTGATGCAATGAATATTAAAAGGATGTGTACTGAGGAGTCAAGATGAGATCACTGTTAATATTAAGAAATGCGATTATTTGATATTCTTTAATGAAATGTGTTAATATTTGGAATACTGCATAATTCACTGAACTTATATTTTCTAAATGACCAATGCATGATGTTGCAAAATCCCTTCAAAGTGAAAGATAAATTAATGGATTTTAATCTAAAAGTATGAAAAGTTCATTGGTGTATGGTTTCAGATTCTACATTGTAGCTAACTTTAAAGAAACCATCACTTAAAATACTTCTTCTTTTCCCAGCTGTTTAGGTGTGCGAAGACAGATGTTCTCCATATATTCAACCAAAGTAATAAGATGGTTGTATACGCAGATAGGAGAATCCAGCTATTTTTCCTTTAAGCTATTTGTCACTAAATTTGATTTGGTTATTTTTGTTAAAAAATGTATTATTTATGTTAACATGTGATGGATACATTGCTGTTTTTAAATGAATTTGTAAACAAACAAAAAACCCAACTTAGTTAATAATTTCATAAAAGCTCTTTGAGGTTCTCAGTAATTTTTGAAAGTGATGAAGGATCCTGAGACTCAAAAGTTTTAGAACTGCTGGCTTAGAAATTGGGTATTGAGCTCCTTGAGGACTATGTACAAATAAGTAATCATAATTAATGTTAAGAACATTTGTTTTGTTATCATTTATCTATTCAGTGGAAGTGTGAGGCTGCAGTTTAGGAACTTATTTTAAATAAAGTGAACCTCACCTTTATGGTGATGAAATCTAAGAGTATTTAGGCATCCGTGGGTAACTTCTGTGGAGTTTTTGATAAGAATCTGCCTGTGTGAGGAAGGAAAAATACATACATTTAAGTGAAATGAGGAAATTTGTATTTACCTTGAGAGAAATGTAATGGTTATTAAAAGTGAAGAGTAGGCATCCAAAAATACAAGTGAAAGAATGCCAACTCTTGAGGCCTGAGTTGGAAGAATGGCAATATAAACTGCTTAAATAGCATAAAGTATCTCAGGATATGAATAAGAGAATAAGATTCCTTTGCGTTATGTGGAGCAAATACTTTGCAGTTTATCTTACACTCATATAATGGTTGTCCTTGAAGTACTTTGACTTTATGTAGAAGATACAACATTTTTAAATGTAGAAAATCAGTTCCAAAGTCTTTAATCTACCCTAAATCAAACTAGTAGTCAATCCAGGTTGTTTGTTATCTATTCTTGTAGATAACAAGTGTGGGGAATTGATTTTTCCTACTGGTCCCAGTAGAATCAAAGGATTCTCTCCAAAGAGAAGGAGATGTCTTTGAGATTAAATAGATCTAGCTGTATTTTTATTACATTTGACTGTTCAAATATATATTAGTGTAATATATATAATGTAGTATATATGAATATTATATATGTTTTATACATTGATTTGTTTGATGGCTAGTTTTTAATGATAAAAATGGTGAATTATTCTACTTTGAATCCCTAGCCTCTGTAGAGCACAGTGCCTCGCATATGTGGTTGGTATTCAGTAAATATTTAATTAAATTAGTTAATAACAAACATGGCTCCAGAACCATGTAGTTCCATGTAACAGCCAGTAACAGAACAAAGTAGTTTAATATTTTTGCTGTTTTTCAGATGGAGCATACTCTTCTATTGTGGGTTGTAACTGGATTTAAAAATAAACTGTTGGGGCGCCTGGGTGGCTTAGTTGGTAAAGCAACTGCCTTCGGCTCAGGTCATGATCCCAGGGTTCTGGGATCAAGCCCCACATTGGGCTCTTTGCTCAGCAGGGAGCCTCTTTCTCCCTCTCCCTCTCCCTACTATTCCACCTGCTTGTGCTCTCTCTCTGTCAAATAAATAAATAAAAAATCTTTTAAAAAAATAAAAACTCTTATACTAAATTGAGTTTATGTTATTTTAATTCTCTGTACTAAATTTCTTCAGGATCCCATTAGAATTTCCAGAATGTGCCCTATCTGTGGTGATAAATGTTCCGTATCTGTGCTCTCCAGTATGGTAGCCACTAGTGACATGTGGCTATTAAGCACTTGAAATGTAGTTAATGGAACTGAAGAACTGAAATTTTAATTATAATTAATTGCAATTTAAATCACCATGTGTGGCTGGTAGATATTGTATTAGACTCTGTAGGTTTAGACATTCTTGCTGACAAAAACTAACATTAATTTTGTGTTTTATGGTTTACAAAGGACCTTGTCATTAGTTCTAGCCCCTTCCTCCCCACTTTTTGGCTGTTTCACAGACTTTTATCAGAAACTTCACCACTGCTGTGAAGGATACAGTGGTGAATTAGATGATGAATTAAGATGAGTAATGACTGTGCATGTAATTTGAAGTTTAACCAGATAATGCTGGAAGAGAGGCGATTAAAAAAAGTCAACCCAATTCTCAGAGGTTATCTCTTGAAACACTTTGGACCTACTTTAATGTATAAACTATGGGAGATAGAAAAAAACACCTAAAACATAGTCTTGATAGTCTTTAATCTGTATTTGAATGTAAATTGTGTTTTGGATTAGTGAGTAATTATGGGTGGGAATGACCGTCTACAAATCCTGTCCAAAGTGAATGATAAAATCATCCTCATTTCTACACTGTTAGACCTATCCATATCTAAACAGCAAGTACCTATAAAACATGACCTCTCTCCTCAATAAAATAAAGTGAGAAGAATTTCCTCAATTGGAGACAAATCTGAAACTCAGTTTATTGGTCTCTAGATCAGGTTTGTCAGCCTTGGCACTACTGTCATTTGTTAATTCTTTGTTGCAGAGAGCTCTTCTGTTCTTTGTAGAATGTTAACAGCATACCTGGCCTCTGCCCACTACATGCCAGTAGTACTGCTCATTTCTGACAACCAAAAATGTCTCCATGCATTGCCAGATGTCCCTGGGGAGCAAAACCACCCCTGATTGAGAACCATTATTCTAAATATACTCTAGTTATATATAAATACTTGGGCCATAACTTGAACAATAATCTATTATGTTCTACTTCATTTATCCTTGGGGAAAACGCTGTACCCCAACCCCATTTCAAGGGAGCCCAGAAATGCAGTTTTCTTGTATTTATTCAGGAGCTAGATGTTTTGTGAAAGTAGAATCCTTCAAATTTCTAGCCTGGCAAACTGCCAGGAAATAGTAGATTTAATCGCAAATTTGTAGATCAAAAAATAGACTCAGAGGGAATATCCTTTGATAAGGTCATTTAGCAAATGGTAGAGACTTGAACGTAGGCCTTTTGTCTCCAGATGACATATACAATAACCAGTAAAAAGGAAGGTACCAGAGTTGTGACTAGACCTTTTGTGATAGCAGCAGTATACTGTAGAGATTAAAACTTGGACCAGAGCTGGGATTAGGATGAGGCAAGCGAGGGGTCTAGGGTGTAGAATTTAAAGGACATTCAGTCTTCACTCTCAGGGTCCAGGTTCCCTGACTGGGAACACTGGAGTCAGACTGCCTGGATTATTTCCCACTTTTGTCTGCTATTAGTTGGTGGTCTTGGATAAATTAACTTACTGTTCTTCAGGTTCTTTTTCTGTAAAAAGGAGATAGTAACAATGTCTGTGTTAGAGGATTTTGTAAAAATGAGTCTGTACGTGTAAAGTTACTCGCAAAGTACACAGTAAGAATACAATACAGGATTAATCTAGTTAATATGATCTACAGATGTACATTAGAGCCATTTGGGGAACAGAAAATGAGTTTTCTCCATGTCTAATTTCAGAGACCTGGCAAAGATTGATGAAATAGGATTGCCAAAAATAAAAGCTACTGTGTTGGAGGGAAAATAGTATTATAAAAATAAAGAGAATTCTTCTGTTTCCTAAGCAAAATAAATAAATACATAACAATTCAGTATTCTTGATTGTTGTCAGTAGTATTAATATGATCACTGTTGCCGAAAACAGTATTGCATTGTTTGTTTTAAATAGCTGATATTTAAAAAACAGTATTTTGATAAATACAATTAAAATCATAAAGAAGAAATTGGATTAAAACAAAACATTTAGCTGATCTGAATTTTATATTATTTGATATTATAAGTTTAATGCTAAGTATTTGTACAGTACTGTATTTGTGTTTTTCATGTTACCTAGGATAGTATTTGGTACTTAGTAAATGTGGCTTCTCAATAGACTACTCCAACACCCCTTTTTCCTCTGCTGCCTACCCAACCCCAGCAGTTGGAAATGTGTGGGGCCATGTTTGCTTGTCTTAATGACTAGTGGGCACCTTTGGCATTTAGTCAGCTACAGCCAGGAATGTTGTTTTTTCTGTACACTTCCTGTGGCACTACCCTGTACAATAAAGAATTGTCCTGGCCAAAATGTCAGTAGCATCCTTACAGAGAAACATTATGCTAGAAAACAACAGTTTGTTTTCCCTTTTCTTCTTTGAAATTACTAAATGTCTGATAAATTCTTAGTCATTTTGTTAGCTCCTGAATAAGTCTCTGCCTTGAAGGAGTTCATACTTCAGTAGAGAAGGTAGACTTAGTGTGAAAAGTATGATAGAAATATTTCTAGGGTTTAGAGGCAGTGAGTGATTTCTCTTGAGGCTGTGTGACTTTGACGTTTCCATTGTTTAGGGAATCATGAGGGAAGACTACTAGTCGGAATAGTTTACTAAGATTTAGACACGAGATATGTATGGTATATTCAGGGAACTGCAAGTACTTTGACACTGTTAGGAAAGTAGAATGCAAGTTATAGTAGCAGAGAAGTAACATAATTCTGTATTAAGGAGCTTGATCTTTACGTGAGAAAGATTCTCTGCGGTGCTAGTTAAAATGCAGATTTTTGGACCTCTGCTCCAGAGATTCTGACCTGATAGAGGCACAGTCTGACATTTTCTTTTTAATTCAATAACATATACCAAAAAATAAAAAAAAATTAAATTGACTTTTAACAACCCACTAATGGGTTGCAGTGTGCACTTTGAAAAGCATTGGTTTAGACTTTAATAGCGTGCATTAAAGTGACCTGGACAGGTTATTAAAACAGATTTTTGGCTCCATCCCCAGAGTTGCTGAGTCAGTAGGTCTGGTGTGGGGCCTGAGAATTAGTATGCCTAACAAGTTCTCAGGTGATGCTGATGACCACATTTTGAGGACCACTGATTTATAGAGGATAGATTGGAAGAGCAAGTTTTCACTAGAAGGTAGACCCTGTGAGGAGGAGGATTTTTGTCAGGTTTGTTCACTGTCTGTTCTCAGTGCCTCTAATAGTGTCTAGTACATAGGAGATCTCGAATTATTTGTAGAATTTATGACTTGATGTGGGGAGCTCAGTGGGCTTAGTCATTACACTTTATGGTAGTACTGGTGAGAGGAGAGGACTTGAACCAGGGCCATACCAGTAAGGATAGATTGGAACAATGCTTTTCCCTGCTCAGCGGGAAGCCTGCTTCTCCCTCTCCCATTCCCCCTGCTTGTGTTCCCTCTCTTGCTGTCTCTGTCAAATAAATAAAATCTTAAAAATTTTTTTTAAAAATCATGGTTTAAAATGGGGCGTCTGGGTGGCTCAGTTGGTTAAGCGACTGCCTTCGGCTCAGGTCATGATCCTGGAGTCCCTGGATCGAGTCCCGCATC